GGCCCCTCGGGGAGATGGGCCCGGCGCTAGGGCTCGCACCTGGAAGCCCACGAGGTGGGCGGTGCCCAATGAGGAAGGAACCGTAGAGCGCGGAGCGGTCCAGGCGCCGACCCCACCCACTGCACCTCGGGGAAGAGGGACCCCGGGTCAGTTCGTAGCACGAGCCATTCCTGACTATCCCAGGAGACCACTGCAGACCAAGAACACCTCTCCGAACAGCCTTCCGCCCCGCTCGCTGCAAGCATTCGTCCACACTCGGTACACAGATAGCGGGCGGATGGTAATTCACTCTTAAAATCACACCCTTTTTAGGGATATTCGTTTTCAACGACTTTGGGAAAGCCACGAGGTACTACATTCAGTACGAAGAGGCTGTTTCTTTATTTTGAAGTCAGTGACTTCTGAGACTGCATTGGGGACACTTTTTTGCAGAATGACCATATTTTACCATGCAGCGCACTTCAGAAAGTTACAAAAGTTTACAAGTTTTGTCGCTTCTGGAAACACCTGGTCAGCATCCCTATTATCGCGCCACGTGGCTCTAGCCTTGTTGATGTACCTGTTATTTTCCCCCATTGCAACATTTTTGTTAATATCTGTGGCTTCTTTCTGCAGAAGAGTTCCTCCTCCTGACATGCACTTCATTCTGTTTTCTATGTCATGACAACTTTCTGATGGTAGTCATTTGTTTATACTATAGCCCCCCGGTATTTATGTACTGTGTGGTATTAATATTTATACTTCGAGGTTCCCATCTTTTATGAACTGTGCATCTGTTGGGATTGTGGACAGGAGTAGGAAACCAAATAAAAGGGTTTTAAAAAAAAATCAGTTTTATCCGTTTGTAAGGGAAGCTTGTTTCCCTGACCACCCTGGAGCAAAATTTGCCGTTTTGAGATAACACAGTCCGTCTGAGAAAGTCCTCCACCGTGCCTTTCCCCTTTTCCCGCATTTCCCAGCATGCTATGAGCTGATGAATAAACAGACTTCATCCTATTTTCGTTTTATCTATAAAATATACATAGTGTTTCCATAATTATCAGACTTCTCACAGTCACTATTGGTAAAATTACTGGGTTACAGGTTTCTTGCTGTAAAACACAAAAATAGGTCATATTTTTATTCCATAGTACCCCAACTTGCTTTTTATTTTTAAGAAAGTAGTCCCTTATGACACCAGCACTAAAAAGAGTGTCTGAAACTTTAAATACTTAACTTTTGAGAGTCGGGGTATCCAGAATTACTGAATTACTAGATACCTCTTATCAGCGAGATGTTCTTTTGTTCCCAAATTTAGCGTCAATATATTTACAAGAACTGAATGTGTCGTATGAGCCATACTACCTCAAAATATTTCTCCCAGTCTGGTCAGATTGCATTAAATCTTAGATGGATTAAACCCTAAAATTCAGTATATGAGAATGGATTGTATACTCTCGGCTTCATGAATTTGAAGAATTATAAGTTTTTATTTCTGCTTTATTTTTGCTTGTGGACTATAGTAGTTTCATAAGTTTCCAAAATAAAAGCATGTTTGATCTTATTATCGAATTACTATTATTTAGGACTATTATTTAAATAACATTGTTCTTTCTGTTAGACTATGCCGATATGAATTTGGCAGAATCTGCCGATTATGGTGTGTCGGTACTCCATACAGAGTGTGTGCTAGATTTCTTCCCTATTTTGTCATCACATCCAATAATATGGAATGCAGCCAGCATATTCATCCCTGGGAATGTCCCTCCTAAATTTTGCAAAGAACGCCTTCATTCTTTATTACACCAAATATTCTTAAGATTAACATTTCTCAATAGTAGTTATTTATGCATTTTAAGAAAAATGTTCATTCTTCTTTACTACCAATGACCAAGTTTGATACTGAGCTGTTTCTTGGTACTTCCCCCATTTCTTGGGAGTAACTAAAACTGGAAGGATATTTAGAATTTCAGAGCATCTAATGTCTTAGTCCATTCAGGCTGCTATAACAAAATACCATCAACTAGGTAGCATATAAAGAACAGAAATGTTTTTCTCACAGTCCTGGAGGCTGGGAAGTCCAAGATCAAGGCACCAGCAGATTTGTGTGTAAAGAGGGTTCCGTTTCCTGGTTTGTAGCTGGTGACTTCTTGCTGTGTCCTCACATTTTAGAAAGAGTGAGGGAACTCTCTTGAACCTCTTTTTCTTTTCTTTTCTTTTTTTTTTTTTTTTTTTTTTTGGAGAAAGAGTCTCATTCTGTCACCCAGGATGGAGTGCAGTGGCATGATCATAGCTCACTGTAGGCTGGAACTCCTAGACTCAGGCAACCCTCCTGCCTCAGCCTCTTGAATAGCTGAGACCTACAGGCATGAGTTAATGTTCCCAGACATCTTGAGCCTCTTTTATAAGGGCAGTAATCCCATTCTTGAGGGCTCAAACCCTCATGACTTAATCACCTCCCGAAGGCCCCATCTACTAATACACTTTGGAAGTCAGGAGTTCAATCTATGAATTTGGGGAAACACAAAAATTCAGACCAGGGCATCACATAACGAAAATTAAGTTACTGCTCTTCTGTCTTGGTAGAAAGGGTGTGTTGTCCTAGGAGAGGGCATGGAACAAAGCAGGCACAGAATACGTGTTTGTGGAAGAAATACATGTTCTAATGTTCTAATGAAGGCTCTAATAAATCTGTGTACTATGTACAGTGTATATAGTATTTTCCTCTTGGGATGTAAAGTGATTTATTGGAAAGAACATAGAAGTGCTTTGGAGACTTGCAGACCAGAGTTCAAATCCTCTCTCTGCATAGTTTGTCTCATCTCAGGCAAGTTGCTTAATTTTTCTAAGCCTTAATTTCCTTATTTGTGAAATGGCAGTTACAACTACTTCAACAACTTATGTGAATTACATTTTATGAAATATTAGCATCTAAAACACAGTGAGTGGTCAGCAAGCTAAGATTCCTTTACCATAAATGTGAATATGTTAATCTAACAATAACTGCTACAAACCAAATACAAAAATCTATATTGGCACTCTGCCACAGTGGTTCTGAAATAACCACGTTAAGTCTACAGCTGTAATTAGTGAATATATCCTAAATGATTAATAGAACAATTTCTAAAAGACTATAGCTAAAATTTCTGTTGGTTAAGCCTCCCAATCTGTTATATTTTTCTTATAGCATCCCGAACTGACTAAGGCATACAGGTCATTACAATAGTTATCAGTACTAATTGTCTTTTTCTCCCTTTCCCTGATTGATGTTTGTTTGTTTCTTTCTTTCTTTCTTTCTTAATTTGTTTTTTGTTTTTGTTTTTGTTTTTGTTTTTTTTGAGACAGAGTCTTGCTCTGTCACCAGGCTAGAGTGCAGTGGCATGATCTCGGCTCACTGCAACCTGCACCTCCTGGGTTCAATTGATTCTCCTGCCTCAGCCTCCTGAGTAGCTGGGATTACAGGCATGCGCCACCATGCCTAGCTCCTTTTTGTATTTTCAATAGAGATGGGGTTTCACCATGTTGGCCAGGATGGTCTTGATCTCCCGACCTTGTGATCTGCCTGCCTCAGCCTGCCAAAGTCCTGATGTCTTTCTTAAGGCACAGGCCAGGTGCCTGTACAAGAACATGTGAGCATAGCCGAGGGCCAGATATATCACTAATCTGGTGCTGTGGGATACTTAAAGCCCTGTGGAAACCTCCTTCTTATTTTGTCCTCGGGTTTTATTTTTCTGCTATGTTATTAGAGTATGAATGAATTTTTTTCATTCATATTCTCGCTGTCAGACAGCTAAATCTGTTAGCAACTAAAGCAATCTCTGGACATTACATTTAATATTTCAGGACTCTTGGGTCACAGAAAGTTACTGACCACGAATAAATAACTGCTTGTGGAGCATCGAGCTAGAATTCATGTTCTAATTCCAAAGCAACAAGCATACACAATTATTATTCCTGGCTGTGCAGGAGAATTGTGGTATGCGATAAATTAATACATGTTCTAATACTACAGCCTCATTTTAGTATGTAATTCTAACTTCCTGAGGTGGTGTGCATTTCTAGTTGTTTCTGAATCAGCTCTATGGGGATTGGACTTTCCAATGCAACAGCTAGCAGTGAAATAACAACAGTGAATTTCCAACCTTCACCTGGATAATTACCTCAACTTCTTCCTTGGTTATCTCATGTCAATACTGTCCTGTTCCAGAAGGTTTCCCCATCCATTTTAAAACACAGTTTCTTCTGCTAATGAAAGTACTTTCACAATTGACTGAAAAGTTTCAAATCTACATCTCACTATTTTAACCCTCCATGAAGTCCTTTAATTGTTGATTCTGTGCTATTTCATTAAATAATACTGGCTTTTTATAGTAGGAGAAAATCAGTCTCAGAATTTTTCTGTTGACTAGACAGAACTATGACCATTTTCAATTGCAAACACTATCTCGATTCAGTAATTGGATTTGAATCAAAGCTCCAAATTTGGTTTAGAATTCAAACTTTGTAGTGGGGAAAGCAGGCAGGCTCAGCTTCTCTATTTCCCTATCTTATTTTCCCCTTCCACTCCACAAGTCAGTCTCTGGGTGAAGGACAAAACAGTTCTTACCCAGCTGGTACCGTTGTCAGCCAGCTTTGCTCTCTCTCAGCCTAGCACACAGAACCAGCTACATGATTTGCAAGGCCCAGTGCATAATGAAAATGCTGGGCCCCTTGCTGGAGAAGAGTTAAGAATTTTAAAACTTTGAGAGCAGAGTGTTAAGTCAAGTACACAAGCCTGTATTCCGTACAGGTAGCACACCCATGAGGCTACTGGCATGTGCTTAACGCTAGCTGTCCAGGGGCTTTTCGGAGAGTTGCTTCTGGGCTACTCTAACTGCAGCCCAGATGTGGGTAATGCACCCTTACCTTCAGCCAGCGCTCCTGATGTCCCCTCAGCTTTGGTTTATTCAGTCCTATTGGAGTCTTCTCACCCCTCTGGGAGAAAGTCTCATAGGCGCAACTCCAGATGGCTCCAGGCAAGTTCTGTGCCTCCCATAGGACTCTGTCTGGGCCACAGAAACCATTGAAACATCCTTTGCCTAGCAGGCGATT